GGGTGCATTGACTTCCTTCCACCCCCACACCGAGGGGGGCGCACGTGCACAAGGTGGGAGCAACGAAGTGCTCATCAGCTGTTGTCTTTTCAGCATGTTCATTGCCGGCTTCCCTGAGTACACACGGCCAATGATAGACCACCTGCTCACCATGAAGATCAGCCACTGGGATGGGTATGTGTTGGGTTCTGCGTTGATGTGATGGGAGCCTCACAGAGTTCTTTTGTGAACCGTATTTTATTTTTCTTTTTTATTTTGTATTGAAGTATACCTGACTTACACTATTACATTAGGTTCGGGTATTGCATAGTGATTTGACCCTTGCAGAGTTCTTTACACACACTCTTGAGAGGTATCCCCTTACCGGTATAGGCATTCTGGTCTACCTTTATAGTGTGTGTTTTTAAGAGGTATTGGTCCACTTGTTACCTTTACCATTCACAGTGTACAGTTCAGTCGTGTTAAGCACGTTGGCCTTGTTGTGCAAACAATCCCCAGGACTTTTCATCTTGCAAAACCGAAACTCCATCCCCATTAAATAATGACTCCCCTTCCCTCCTCCAGCCCTGGCACCCGCCCTCCTCCTTTTTGTCTCGATGCATCTGACTGTCTCAGGGCCTCACATGGAATCACACAGTATTTGTCCCTTTGTGACTGGCTGCTTTCACTGGGCACCGTGTCCTCGAGGTCCATCCATGTTGTGGCAGGTGCCAGAATGTCCTTCCTTCTTAAGGCCGAGTGATATCCATGGCTGGACATACCACATTCGTTTTCCATCTATTCATCGACCGGCTCTTAACTTGTTTCTATTTCTTGTCTGTTGTGAATCATGCTGCTATGAACAAGAGTGTCCAAATATTTTTTTAAGTCTCTGCTTTTCAATATTTTTGAGTATATACCCAGAAGTAGGATTGCTGTATCATATAGTAATTCTATTTTTAATTTTTTAGAAACTTCAAAAACCACGCTGATTTTCCTAGTGTCTGCATCGTTTTCCATTTCCACTGGCAATCTACAAGGTTGTAATTTCCCCAGATCCACACCAGGACCTTTTTTCTGTTTTTTTTTCTTTCTCTTAGTGGGTGTGAAGTGATATTTTGTGGTTTAACTGATGATTATTGATGTTGAGCATTTTTTCATATGCTTGTTGGCTGTTTGTAGTTCATCTTGGAGAAGCATCTCCAAATGCAGTTACTTATTGGTTGTTGAACTGCAGGAGTTCCTTCTGTAGTCTAGACTTCGGCCCTTGTCAGATACATGATTTGGGTGTTTTCTCCCTCCCACTCCACATGTTGCCTTTTCACTCTGCTGATTGTTCCCTTTGATACAATCAGTAGTTTAAAATTTCAGTGTAGTCCAATTGGTCTATTACAGCCGTGGGCAAACTATGGCCCGCGGGCCGGATCCGGCCCGTTTGAAATGAATAAAACTAAAAAAAAAAAAGACCGTACCCTTTTATGTAATGATGTTTACTTTGAATTTATATTAGTTCACACAAACACTCCATCCATGCTTTTGTTCCGGCCCTCCGGTCTAGTTTAAGAACCCATTGTGGCCCTCCAGTCAAAAAGTTTGCCCACCCCTGGTCTATTACCAGCTTACCTATTTTTATTTATTTTTTTACTTTTGTTGCTGATGTGTCTGGTGTCACACCCAAGAAATCATTGCTAAATCTAACATCATGAAGCTTCTCTGTTTTCTTCCAAAAGCTCATAGTTTCAGGTCCTCTCAGGGTTCTTCCCATCTTCCGAGTCCATGGGGGTGTGGGAGGTAGGGACGCTTTGCCACCCAGCACTTGGAGGTGGCAGCTGTGCCCGGAGATGGGCCTGCATTTCGGTGCTTCATTTGGTAAATTCTCTCTTCCTCATTTGTTACAGTCAGGTTCTTATTTGTTTGGGTGTTTATTTTCAATAGTGGTTTTGATTCAGTGGCCAGTTGACTCATGGAGACTATCTCTCTTTTCATGAGTTGAATAAAGCTAGAATCATCAAGTAAAGGAACTAACCATTTTTCTGTCCCTCTTGCCCCCCAGGGTCATCAGAGAGCTGTCAGCAAAGGCACTGCATAACCTGGTCCAGCAGGCGCCCGAGTACAGTGCTGCTCAGGGTAAGTGAGCTCCAGCCGTCCTGTGGGTGTGCCCCCCCTCGCTCACGCGTGCGCACATGCACACACGGTAACAGACCTCGCTCACGCGTGCGCACATGCACACACGGTAACAGAAAGCCAAGGACGGGCCACCCTGCTGGTTTCAGGGCTGGAGGAGCTGAATATAACGTGTTTCTCCTCTGCTGAGAAGCACTGGACAGAACACAAACGATTGCCTCCGTCTCCCCAAGGACGGGCTGTGGTCGCTGTGGGTGTCCACCGGGAGCTCCCAGGCCGGGCCCCTGCGTGGATGCCAGTCACAGCGGGGAACTGATGGAATCCTGTCTGTCATGCATACATCAGACGTAGCTTCTTTAAAAATAAAACAAAATAAGCGAAATGACTCACCATGTAGTCAACTTTTTAAAAACGCACTGCCTCCTGGGTGCTCAGGCCTTGGGAGCAGCCGCCGTGCCGTGTGCTGACTCTCAAGAGCGCAGGGCCCGCTCCCGGCTGTCCTGCCGGGTCCACCCGCTCCACTGTCATTGGGGGGACCCGTGAGTCCATCTTGTCTTTTCTACTGGAAATAAATAAGCATCTGATTTCAGTGTGAGCACCGTACATACATTTCTTGAAATTATACTTATTCCCACCGACATTTGTTAGAGGGAGTAGTGGTGGAATCGTGGTTCTTCCTCTAGTTACTGATTTCACGTGTGTGTGCGTTTCACACGCTCTGGGATCCCCCTAGTTGTGAGGGCCCTTTCAGCCTCGTGGTCCGTTCCTTAAACAGGAACCTTGTGTGATGCTCCCTCACCTGCCTTTGACGATCTGTGGGAGGACCTGAAACCACGACCTTCCCATATAGTTTGTTCCCAGTTCAGGAGTTCTCACGGCCCAGGATAATGGGTTCCCTGACCCCAAACACTGATCCTATCTGCTGCCGCGTGGGAGCTCTTGGCTTGGGGGCTGTCTGCCGTTACAGCCTCCGCACAGCTGCACCTGTGCCTTCAGGGACGTGAGCTCTGAGGGGCTGGTGGGGGCTCTGCTTTCTGTGCCCAGAGGCTTCTCTGCCCCGAGCAGCGCTGTGGGGAGCGGGGGTCCTGCAGCTCGACCCTGCCCTGCTCTGCCCAGGCAGAGCCCTGCTGGCCACTTAGCTCAGGAAAGACCTCGCCCCACACCAGCCACCGGTGCCCAGGGAGCCTGGGAAGCACGTGCTGTGGGAGGCGTCCTCGGTCGTGTCCTGCTCACTGGCCTGGGTGCCGGGGCCTGCCTGCTTCCACCTCAGGTTAGGCTCTGGGTGTGGTAACCGTCCTGACGGAACGGTCCGCAGGGGCCTTTCTCCTTGACTCACAGTCTGCATGTCAGCCTGTGTGCTCACGCGACGTCGTCTCCTGCCCGTCCTTTGCAGTTTTCCCACGCCTGCTGTCGATGACGCAGAGTACGGACCTGCACACGCGGCATGGGGCTGTGCTCACCTGTGCGGAGGTCGCCCACAGCCTGTACAGACTGGCTGTGCGGGAGGACAGGTAGGAGAAGCCCCCCTCCCGCTCCCCCCCTCCGCCGAAGCATGTGGTCGAGAGCTGGGACACATCCACTGCATTTGTGTTACATGTGCCGGGGGGGCAGTGTCTTCACGTTTTATCTGATGAGGTTGGTCGGTGGTCCTCTCTCTGATGAGTCATGGCCTGTGATGGGAGCCAGCCAGCATGTGGCCAGATGGGGCCACTGGCGGCTCCAGGTGTTACTTCCAGGCAGACGGCCGAATTCAGGTCCCGACCCCGAGCGTCTGGGTTTCCCAGTGCACGTCCCAGCTGCGTGACCCCTACTGTAGGCCCCGCGTGCGCAGTGGCATCTACTCACGGTGCGCACCTGCGGGGAACCTCTCCGTGCCCTCGGCGAGTCCTCTTCTTCCTGAGGGGCGGGGCGGCCTCGACCTCGGTGGGCACGCGGGGTCTTCCATGAGGGAGGGCTGCCCGTGCTGTGTCCTCAGTCACCTCACTCGTTCTGGGGAAGTGGGTCAGTTATAACAGCAAAGAGGGGTTTTCGGAGACGCTGTTGAGTGGCTCCTGTATTCCATACTCTCCATCATTTGTCACTCTTAACAACCTAAAATCCCAGAGCTCAGGGCTAAAAGCTTCCACCAGGAACTTCTCGGTGGGAAAGTGGGTGTGAACAGTGAGGAGGCAGCGGGCCCTGGAGCAGATCCGCACGCGAGAATGTTGGGGAAGCAGCCACTTGGCTTTTCTTTCCTTTCTTTCCAACCACCTTTCCTCAGAAGCAGGAGCCAGCACACAGGACGCTGTCACCTGGTCCTTGGCCTCCAGTTTGAGGAAAACTGTCTGACGTTGTGTCACGTCAGGAGGGGGTTCTGAGCGAGAGACGGAGCTCACCTTTCTCCTGACCGGAGGGCCCGGGAGGGTTGGCAGTCTTTTACCGCCCAGCTCGGCTCACCGCTCGCTCCTGAGGGGCGGCCGTATCGGGGGAAGTGGCGCCTGTGGGCTGAGGGCTGGGCAGCCACACGGGAGCCTGATCCCCCAACTCTGACTGTGAGGGTGCAGGCGTCACCCACCAGGGAGGGTCTGAGAGGCGCACCCAGGTTTCTGTTGGGTTAGTCCCGTGGTCTTCTCCACCAGACCCCCAGCAGACAGCCAGGTGCCACCAGACCCCCAGCCGACAGCTAGGTTGCCAACAGAGACCCCCCAGCAGACAGCCAGGTGCCAGCAGAGACCCCCAGCCAACAGCCAGGTGCCAGCAGAGACCCCCCAGCCGACAGCCAGGTGCCAGCAGAGACCCCCCAGCCGACAGCCAGGTGCCAGCAGAGACCCCCCAGCCGACAGCCAGGTGCCAGCAGAGACCCCCCAGCCGACAGCCAGGTGCCAGGAGAGACACCCCTGCCGACAGCCAGGTGCCAGGAGAGACACCCCAGCCGACAGCCAGGTGCCAGGAGAGACACCCCAGCCGACAGCCAGGTGCCAGGAGAGACACCCCAGCAGACAGCCAGGTGCCAGCAGAGACCCAGCAGACAGCCAGGTGCCAGCAGAGACCCCAGCAGACAGCCAGGTGCTAGCAGAGACCATGTTGCTTGCACAGTTTGGGCACAGTCACCCTCCTGCATCGGGGAATGGTGGGAACCCTCCTGAACCTCAAGTTCTGGACCCAGTCAAGGGCAGCCTCTCGAGCAGCCATTCGGGCGGGCAGCGAGGCTGTGCTGGAGCTCCTGTCCGTCAGGCCCCACACCAGCCGGTCAGGTCTCCTTTCCAAGCGTCACACCGGCAGCTGTGAGCCTGCTGCTCCCCATCCATGGGGGACTGTCTCCGTGGTCAGCAAACTGCATCCGGGTCCCGGCTCTACTGATCTGGTCCCTGTGGCCACCCCTTTGAGTGGGTGTTGCTTTAGGGGGCTACCTTCTGCAGGTGTTTGGGGGAGCGGGTGAAGCGCCGGAACATGATGTGGGTTTCTCTGAGCCTGGGCCCCGTGGTGCTCGGGGTCTCACTGCTGTGTTTGAACTCCTTAGGCCTGTCGCAGACTACCTGGACGAGACGGTGGTGCAGGGCCTGAAGCAGATTCACCAGCAGGTCTGTGGGTCTGAGGGTGTCCGCCTGATCTCCAGCTCTCTCCACCCTCAGCCTGTTCGAAGGCTGGGCTCAGGACCGGAAGCTCCCTGCAAGGCTCAGCCCTGGGCAGTGCAGACCTGGGCTGTCAGCTGGGGAGCAGTTCTCCGCTCTCCGTAGGCCAGCTCCTCGGGATCTCGGGGGTGGGAAGAGCATCTCTTCTCGTGTGGCAGAGTCCCAAGGGCAGTCTGGCAGGTGCAGGTAGCTCACAGGCCTGCTCCCCCTCCTGTCTGGGTCGTGCCTGTTCTCTCAGACCCCAGGCAGCACGAAGGCCTTGGATCCCGTGTGCCTGCGAGGCGGGCATCCTGAGTCGGACGTTACACCCGAGTGTGGCGCACTCTCCGCGGAGAAGGGCTGTGGGCTCTCTGAGTTTTCAGCTTCTCAGAGGCTCCTGTGATTCAAAAGAGGGACTCTGTGAGCTACGGCCTCCATGTTATAGGACGACCGCCGAGTCAGGATGCGGCGTTAGATGGCTTCACTGTTTGTTGTCCTCGTTAGACTTTGTATTTTTATATAATAATGCACATTGGGTCTTAGCCTCTTATCTGTTTGTGCCATGAGCTTGCTGTGTGATTTGGCTAAGCCATTGGTCTTTTTACTTACACTTGTCACTCTACAAGGAGTCTGGCCTGTTTACCTCCCGCTGTCAGGACAGCATGAGCGCCTGAGAGCCGGTGGTGCTGGCAGCACAGAGACTCAGACGGGGGCCACGCGCCCCCTCATTCTGTAGAGTGTGGGTGGACCCTCCTCCCTGCAGTTCTGGGGTTAAAGGACCATGTGAGCACAGTCCCTGTAGCCGAGGTGGCGATGCTGGGAGGTGCTTCCAGGGCTTTGGAAGAAAGAGCCTCAGGACCCCTGGTTGGCGGTCTTTGTTTCCTGCCCACGAGGCCGTCTGGGGGACGGTCACGGCTCGGTCAGTCCTGGGCCCCTCTCGTCTGGCCACCCTCTCCGTGCCTTGGATTCCCTCCCAAGTGAGGCTGTCGTGAGGATTGAAGGAGAGAAGGAGCAGGAGGCTGAGGGAGGTGCTTGCAGGGAGTGAAGCAGGATCCGTCCCTGCTTTCTCACTGTTCATATGACTTACCTACTTTAAAAACCCAAGTAACCTGTCTAACTGAAGAACTTTCTGTTTTTAATTTTAGCTTTATGATCGTCAGTTATACAGGTAAGCTTTACGAACCCGAGATTCTTATGTTTTGTCTTACTGAGTAAGCGCACTGCTTGGTCTGCTAACCCCTCAGCTGAGTGGACTCCTGTCCGGCCGCCCTGCGGGGTCTCTTCTGTGCTCGTTTATTTGAGTGTGTGTCACAGTCATTTCCCGTTAAGAACTGAGAGGTCTAACCTACTGGTCTTCTAAGCGTGTGGAGGTTGACGTGACGCTGGCCGGTTGAAGTGTGGAATCTGACAGGTTTGGGGGTCCAGAGGCTCGTGCGGTTGTGGCCCCAATACGGCAGCATGTCGCCTGACACGTCCTCCTCTTCCCGTCTGCAGCCTGCAGTCTGCTCTGCAGCACCAGGGCAGTCTTTTCTGAACTCTGCGTAGACCCACTTGTTCTGCAAAGTCTCTGGTCTGGTTTCCTCGGGGCAGTGTCTCTGACGTGTGGTGGCCCCTGTGCAGGCATTCCCGTGGGCTGCTGCGTGGTCCTCGGTGCTGTGCGCTCACCTGCTCTCAGGTGATGGGCGTCTGGGCTGGTCCTCTCTGCTTCTAAGACACGGAGGCCTCCCCGAAGCGGCTGTGACATGTTCCTCCTACCGGCCGAGAGCTGCTCCGCATCCTCATTGGCTGGGCTTCCTTGACGAGCCAGCCCCGTGGGGCGTGTGTTTCCCGGGGACCAGGCGCCTTCACGTCTCCTCTGTCTTCTGAGAAGAGATGTTCAGGTCTTTTTTTTTTATAATATATTTTATTGATTTTTTACAGAGAGGAAGGGAGAGGGATCGAGAGTTAGAAACATCGATGGGAGAGAAACATCCATCAGCTGCCTCCTGCACACTCCCTACTGGGTATGTGCCCGCAACCAAGGTACATGCCCTTGACCGGAATCGAACCCGGGACCCTTCAGTCCGCAGGCCGACGCTCTATCCACTGAGCCAAACCAGTCAGGGCTGTTCAGGTCTTTTGCTCATTAAAATAATCTCATGATCTGTCTTCTTCTTACTGAGCCGTCAGCATCTTTACATATTCTGGATATGAGCTCTTTGTAGACATAGATTTCCTAGCATTTTCTCCCTGTCTGTGGTTTGCCTATTCATTTTTCTTAGTGACTTTAATTTTATTGATTTTTTTTAACAGAGAAAGAGGAAAGGAGAGGGAGAGAGTGAGAAACATCGATGTGAGAGTGAAACATCAATTGGCTGCCTCCTGCACGCCTACCAGGGATTGAGCCCACAACCCAGGCATGTGCCCTGAGTGGAGTTGAACCAGCAACCTTTCAGTGCATGGAACGATGCCCAGCTGAGCCACACCAGCCAGGGCATTCTTAGTGGCTTTTGTAGTTGTTGTCGTTAACCCTCACTCAAGGGTATTTTCTCCATTGATTTTCAGAAAGAGTGAAGGGAGGGGGAGGTAAGAGGAAGAGAGAGAGCGTGGGCGGGGGGATGAATATGGGAGAGACACATAGATTGATTGCCCTCCACACGTGCCCTGAGAAGGGCCAGGAATTGAACCTGCAACCCTTCGGTGCAGGGTTGTGCACGTCAGCCTCTCTGTTTGTTCTTGACGTCTCTTAGCACCTCCAGCTTTCCTGAGAGCCTGGGCCTGTGCAGGGGTCAGACCGGGCCCCTCCCCATTCTGGTGTCGACATCAGGAATGTCCAAACCTGTAGAGAATTTTTATGAGTTTATTGGAGCCAAACTGATGACAGTTTCTGGGAAGGAAAATCTCAACAGATTGAGAAAATGCTCTGGAGAAAGGTAGTTTAGCAGCTTATTGGAAACATTAGAATCAAAGGAGGAGATGAAAGGAGGGTCACATGAAATCCACTGGTAAATTAGGGGGACGGGAGAGAGCCGAGCGGGGAAATCTCTGGAGCTGGATAAGAGTAAAACGGCAAGACACATTCTTTCACACCAGCGGCAGGTTCCGGATAGTCGATGCCCTTTACAGCACATGGAGATGCTATACGGCAGCGAGATAGCAGCGAGGGGTTCTGCAGTCTCGTGCTCTGGGAGGGCCCTGCGGGCTCTGAAGCGGAGATTCCTCTGACGTGCCAGAGGTTTGTTATCGCAGATGCACAAAGGCCGCAGGCTCACTTGAGGTGAAGGTGACCTTTGTCAGGGAGCTGCAGGCCCAGGACGTGACCCCGCCATGACCCGCTGCTAGTGAGGACGGGATGTTCAGACCGTTCTGTGCGGTAACCTTTGGTCCCTGTGCTGGTGAGGCCGCCCCTGGGCTTCCAGGTGTAGGACGGGGACCCTTTCTGCTCACACTGGCCCCCCCCCCCCCCCCCGGCCCCCGGAGCTGGCGCTGCACTCGCTGAGCTGGGTGTTCCCAGCTGTGCCCGGTGTTCCTCTTCCCAGACTTCCGTTTTCCAGCCTCTGAAACGGTTTCATCTGCTCCATCCACGTCTCTGATATTTAAGGCGGAGAGCAAATCTGGGTCCTCTTCTCTGTCTAGGCCGGAAGCCAAAGTCTGGTGAAGCGATGTTCTGTCTTCGCGAGTGTTTCTTACGTTCATGTTCACCAGTTTCCTGTTGTCAGCGTTAGACATCGATTTGATGTGACTGAGAGCCAGCAAGATAGGCAGGCTCTCCTCCCGGGTTTCGTTCGCAACGGAAGGCAGGTGGATGCTTCCTGGCATCTTCCTGGCGTCTTAGATTCCTGTCGTTGCTCGTTTGTTTGTTAATCCTCACCCGAGGGTGTTTTTAGAGAGAGTGGAAGGAAGGGGAAGAGACAGAGAGAGAAACATCGATGTAAGAGAGATACATCGATTGGTTGCCTCCCACACGCACCCCCGACCAGGGACCGGGGATGGAACCTGCAACCAAGGTACATGCCCTTGACTGGAATCAAACCCAGGACCAAACCGGCCAGGCATTAAATTCCTCTAGTTTTTACAAAGTGAGAATCGAACAGTGTTTGGGATTTGTTCTGCGTGATTGTTTGATGTAATTGACGCCAGTAAGGACTATAGTGTCCAGTGAAAACGACAAGTCAGAGGAACCCCAGCTAGGACTTGGGACATCTGGGAGATGGTTCCAGGAGTCTTTTCATTTCTTCCTGTAAAAAGGTAGCTTCTTACAAGTAAAAGTAATACACAGTGATGCTGAATATCAACTGTAATTGGAAAAAGTTCAGTTAGAAAAAAAGAAAATCACTCTTCAGTATTGGTGAGGATATTTTATGTTGTTTTATATAATAAGGTACTTTCGCCCTTTTTGTATTAATTTTCAGGGGTCTCGGAGGAGAGCTCATGCGACAAGCAGGTAGGTCTGAGCACGGGAGGCTGCGGGTTGTGGGTTGCACCCTCTCATCCCCGCCATGGGGTGGGGAGAGTCCGAAGGGCGTTTGCCGCTCTCAATACCGTGGCGTGAGCGTGCCCTTCCCAGGACCCCGGGCCTGGCCCGCTGCCGGGGTTCACTTGACTCCACCATGTGCCCAGTCATCCCAGACAACAGATGGAGGTGCGGGGACCAGGGCTTCCCAATGGCAGCGGCCAGGATGGGGTGGGAGAGCGGGGCGTGGTGTGTCTTTCAGGAAGGGATGGTGGTGAGGGACCGAGTGTTGCTATCTTAGCCTCTTCAGCAACATTTAAGTTAACTGTAGAGCAAAGAATAACTTTTTAGATTATATTTAAACTCTGCAAGGAACTCAAATGATGCCAACATGCCTAGATTTTCTGACGCATTTTTAACTAAACCTAGAAGACCCAGACTCATCCGCTTGTCTGTGGGCTGAGTAGGTGCCAGGTCAGTTCTGGCCATGCCCTGGGCTCCGGTCCCCGGGAGTCCCTCACCCGGAGCGGGCGGGCGGGCGGGCGGTGGGGCTCACAGTCCTGAAGGGACAGGCGTGCCTCATGCATTCACCCTTTCTCCTCCCAGTGTGCGTTTTAATAGAAAACCTGTCCCTTTCCAAGATGCCCTTCAGGGGTGACGCCGTAGTCGGTAAGTGCTTTTCTTCAGCGCTCGCCTTGTAGCCTGTTCTTTCAGAACCGCTCCACATGGACAGTGATTGCTTCCTGGTAGTGGAATTCCTGGCTTTGAAACTGCTGCCAGAGCCAATTGTAAACGATGGGCATCAGCCACACCCTCCAAAACAGGCCGTCCCTCCTCTGAGACACGCTCCTTCCTCAGAGCCCTGGTGTGGCTCAGGCCCCGCAGGACCAGGGGAGGCAGCAGCAGGTGCCAAGGCCACGGGGGCAGGATGTGGGAGAACCTGCTCTCGTGGGGGCAGCGGCCAGGCCCCTGTGCAGGTCCCGTGCCCGGGGCAGCCGTCCTGTCCAGCAAGCAGGGCCTTTTCTGGTTGTGTGAACAGGCAGCCGCGAGAGGCAGGAGGAGGGCTGCCCGCGGCTGCCCCGGCTCTGTAGCCTCAGGAGAGCTGTGCAGGTTTGGCATTCGTTGCCAGATGGTGGATCTAATTGAGTGGAATGTTTGGGTTTTGATTGGGGGGGGGGGGACGGGAGTGAGGGGGCGTTGTTTGAGGGAGAGGTACAGGAGAAGACCACCTGACGTTGGTAGGTGTAATAAAAGAACAAAAGTTTTCCAGGTTTGGCTCAGTGGATAGAGTGTCAGCCCTCAGACTGAAGGGTCCTGAGTTTGATTCCTGTCAAAGGGCACGTACTCCGCCACCCTGGTCGGGGTGCGTGCAGGAGGCAACCAGTCGATGTGTCTCTCTCACATCGATGTTTCTTTCTGTCTCTCCCCCTCCTTTCTACTCTCTCTAAAAATCATTGGAAAAAATATCCTCGGGTGAGGATCCACAGAACAAAACAAAACAAAAATTTCCCATGGTAAGAGTTTTAGCATTTCAGCAGCAAAAAGGAGACTTTCCCCCTTTAAACCAAGGGCCTTTGGAATTTGTACAACCTGGAGAAATTTCACTTTAGATTTTCTCCAGACTCACCTCTTGTTTACCATCTACGTTGATTTAAGAGGTAGAAGATCTGTTTGTTGTTGACTTTAATTTCACCGAACTGTTCTTAATTGGGGAAATGGTCTTCTCTGTTTCTGTGACAGATGGTTGGCAGTGGCTGATAAGTGACACCTTGAGAAACCTCCACCATGTGTCCAGTCATTCCAGGCAACAGATCAAGGTGCGGGGAGCAGGGTTTCCCAGTGGCTGTGCTGTCCCGAGAACGACATTACTTTTTTAGTGTTTGTTTCAAAAGACTGCATTATGGTCCCTTTTATGCACTAATGGGTAACTGAACGATGCCACAATTTTGTTTGGACTCTGGATGGTATTGTCTATGTAACATGTAATCAGGAAAACGGATTCAGCTATTGGTGACCAGAACATGCAGCTTTTAAATTCCTGCTTCTGGTTTGATCCTGTTCGCCTCAGCGTTTTTCCTGCACATCGATAGTGACTCTGTGGCGCTGTAGGATTTTAGGGGTGGAAGCTGCGTGTGCCACAGTCCCACCGCGCATGCCAAGTTGGCATTTCTGAAGGAGTGTGCGTCCCGGTGGTTGAGGGCCACGGCTGTCCCCTCGGGGCCAGCTGGGCGTGGGGTGCAGAGCTGTTCCTTTCCCCGCACAGTGACCATCACCAGGACATTGGGAGGGACTCGGCTTCGTACTGAGGATGAAGAAATGAGGGTGTAATTCTCTCCTGTGTGTCTCAGCATTTCTGCTGGGTTATAGAAGGCTTCGTCAGCCCTTTTTAAGAGTAACTTTGTCATTCTGTAGGATTGAAGCACCGTTTTACTAGTTGAATTTGAGCGCCTCAGGATCCGTGCTGCAAACTTTCCTTTTAAAACATCCATAACATTCATACAAGCAGTGATCCCGGAGCAGTCTGCTGCCCTGATTGGTACCAGTGACACCTCGTTCTGAGCTCCCTCCCCGCGCTCATGGCCCCTCCTGCCCGGCCCAGCAGCTCTTTCCTGGGCTGCTCCGTGCCTTGCTCCCGATCGGGAGTGGAGAGGACGTAGGAATCTAGTGTTTGCTCCTTGCAGGTCCCTCTGTAACCAGGTGTTCGAGGAGAGGCCCTGCGAGTCCCTGCCACCTCCATGCTCTCCCCACTCCCTCTCCCACTCCGTGTGCTCTGCCTGGGGATCGGTGCTGAGGGGCCCCTTCCTGTTCCCAGGGCCCCTGGACCCCCACGTCCTCTCTGAAAAGGCCCTACACAGCCTGCTCAGAGTTCTTGCCCATGGTGCACACACCTTTTCCCTCATCACCTCTGCTGGGACAGAAAAGTGCCCATTCTGCTATTAACTGTTCATACGATAAGGCATGGAGTTTGCATTGTTTGGAAGAAATAATCAAGTTTTCTATTCAGTTTATTATTTGCAAAAAATGTTAAAGTTTTAACTCCCTGACAGATGACGGCACGCAGTCGTGCTGGAAGGAAGGATGTCATTTATTTCTGTGTCTGACTGCGGAGCAGCCCGGCCGCTCCCGTGGTTCCCGGGAGGCTGAGGCGCCCGTGTCTTGCTCGGTTCTAGGAAGCAGCTGTCTCCGCCCTGGCTGCTCTCTGCAGCGAGTACTACGCGGAGGAGCCCGGGAAGGCGGACTCCACTGGGCAGGGTGAGTGGCTGTCGTGCTGACCCTCGGGCCCTCCGGGCGTGGTGGGGAGCTCGGGTGTCTGGGTTTTGGTTTCGGCTCCCTTCCTCCACCGCAGCGTGCACACGCAGGTGAGCAGGGACGGTGGGCGCTGGCGCCTCCTGGGCCTGCCCACCTCCCGCCCCGGCTGGCAGGCTGTGCAGGAGAGGCTGGCTGTCTCCCGCTCCGACGTCTCGGTGCCGGCTTTCCCGTGCGAACGTCCCTGGGACACGATGTTCCTCTTTAGCGTATGGAGTCAGCTCTCGTCTCGGCAGCGTCTGCTCACGGCACACTTTACGGGAGCTCTTCCCGCTTTGAGCTCCGGAGGCTGCGGTTCTGTGTGGGGAGCTGCCTTTCCCTTCTGTTGGGTTCCTCATCGCCGTCATTCTCACTGTCGCTGTGCGTTTGCTCGGGTGCTCCTTCCTGGCCTGCACTCTGAGCGTCTGCTTGCACTGTCGCCCACGTCCTGCTGGTTCCGTGCTTTCTCCTGGGGCTTCATCCACAGGCACGATTCCTTCACTGGCTTTTGTATTTTATGGTAAAATGTGTTCTTAGAATTTTCTGTGCACCACGGCAGCATGTTCCCAGCGCGTGTCCTTCCTCTTCATGGGGACAGCGAGCGTGCCGCTGCCTCGCCACACAGCCCGGCTCCGGCGTGTTTCCCAGAACCCTCCACGCTGCAGCGCCCCGACCCCTCGCCGAGGCCCTTCCTGGGATCCACTCACGAGTGTTGCTTTGATCAGGAAGCTCCATGCTCACATGCCTGTGGCTGCCCTGCTGCTCCGTGGGGCACGCAGCGCAGCCCCTCACGTGCATGGGAAACGCTGTTTTACGTTGTTGAATGTGAACTTGAGTCAGACTTTCCAAGTTAATAGTGTTTTACTAGATCTCTTTTCCACGGGCAGTTTAACTTAAAGAGACAGTAATGTTTTGTATTTAGTCTATTTTTAAAATTGGGATAAGATCAAGTTTTGCTTTTTGCCTAAGAAAAGTGTACCACATCACACCATTCTGAATATAGAAAGAAATAATACTCAGAAATGAACCTTGGAAACGCATGTGAGTTGTAAGGGGGAAGGGAGATGGGTTTTTTCATGTTGTTACTGGTGTCTTCTCTAAGTTCCACCATAGGTGTCAGTGTAGTGTATGAACAAATGGAACTTTATTTTATTTTTTAAATACATTTTTATTGATTTTAGAGAGGAAGGGAGAGGGAGAGAAAGATAGAAACATCAGTGATGAGAGAGAATCATCAATTGGCTGCCTCCTGCACGCCCCTCCTGGGGGTCGAGCCCGCAACCCGGGCATGTGCCCTGACTGGGCATCAACCCGCCACCTGCTGGTGTATGGGACGATGCTCCAGCCGACGGAGCCACCTGCCAGGGCGTTTGCCCTCATTTGAGGAAGACGTTGTCTCCACAATGAGCATTTGTGTTCTTAGTGAGTAAACAATGAGAATTACGACTGTGTGGACCATTCTCAACGCCCTCCTGGAGTTATTTTTCTGAGTGAAACCATTTGTTGGAATTGCTCATGAAAACCTTAAAACCACCCAATAAAATTTCTATAAATCTCTTGATTGATTCCACTTTGAAAACACATCTGCTCCTGGAGCCTGAGTCCTTCCTCCCTTCTCTCTTTGGACGCCATTTGGCTCCTGCTTCTGAAACGTCTGTGAAGAGCAGGTAAGGAAACCCTGGGCCGCAGTGGGTCACCCTGTGGCTTCTTTTCAGAGGGGCTGGTAGAGAAGTATCTCGCCGAGCTGCAGAGCCCGGAGGAGATGACGCGCTGCGGCTTCGCCATGGCCTTGGGCGCCCTCCCAGGCTTCCTGCTGAGAGGCAGGCTCCAGCAGGTGAGGCTGAGCTGAGCGTGGAAGGGGGTCCGTGCGAGACGATGGCGTGTGTGAGACCATACACATGTGGGGGGGGGGGTGGGCACACGTCCCTGCCCGGTGTCTCTCAGGGTCCACCCCCAGACGGACTTGAAATCTCTCCCTGGGGAGGATCCATGTACACACTGACGTGCAGCTGAGCTGCTGCCTGATCACGGGACAGAGCGCGCAGGGTCCCGGCCAGGACGGGGCAGGCACTCGCGCTCGCTCGGGCAGCAGCACCAGGGCTGAGCCTCCACTTGTTGGAAAGTACGTGGATCTCGTGGGGGTGACTGGTCACTGCCTTTCAGGTTCTCAAGAGCCGTCACCCTTTCCTCGGTTTTCCTTCGGAGGACGTGAACTTGGGGGAGTCCCGGCGGGATCCCGTGAAGGCCATCCCCAGGTGAGCCCCGTCCTCCCAGGACGGGTGAGCCCCGTCGCTCAGGACCCAGGGCCCGTCCACGGGGTGGTTCACAGCTGGTCCTTTGGAAGCCCGTTCTCAGTGACGAATCTGCTTAGAGGCAAATGCTATTCTTTATTTTCTAGTTTCTTCTATATTTGAAGGATTGGAAAGAACATTTCCAACTCAGGCTTGTTAATGGTTCTGTCCTAATTCTAGGGAACATTAAGCCCATGGTGTGCTCGCTCCATCCCTTTAGGACACGGGACCACTTTAAAGATGGGCAACCCCAAGGACGAGGGCAGGACAGTGCGCGTGGTGTCTGGTGCTTAGTCACACACGCATACATGTAGGATGCGCTGTCTGCACCCCCCCCCCCCCCAGCTGTGGAGCCCACGTGCTGTCCAGGCCCTGATGGCACACTGTCCCCTTTCTGCCCAGATAGAGGGCAGGAAGGCCCAGGCACAACTCGCCTTCTAAGCTGTAGACACTAGAGAGTGTGATTCGGAGAAGAGGTGGCGGTAGCGTGAAGGAACGCTGGGCGTCGGAGCTCCCTCGGAGGTGCCAGTCTGCTCTGAGCATGTCCTGTGAGGAGAAGCCCATCAGGCTGGAGGGACGGGCGGACATGAGCTGTTTCTAATTCCAGGATTTGCCAAACGGTCGGTGTGAGAGCAGAAGGGACCCCGGATGAGGTCGTGTGCAAAGGGAACGTGTCCCAGATTTACAGCACGCTGCTGGACTGTCTGCGCGACTACACCACCGACAGCCGCGGGGACGTGGGCGCGTGGTGAGGCGGCCTGCGCGCCCGTCCAGGAGGGCGGTGGGCTTTCCCTGGTCTTCCAGCTGCTGCTGTGGTTGCCTTCAGAGCACACAGTGAAGTGGGGAGGAAGGCTCCCCTCCAGGGTCCCCCCGGGGTCCCGTCCGGGCCAGAGCCCAGGATGCCGGGCGTGTGGGTGACAGGATGGCCTCGGGCCAGAGCAGAGTCCCCCCTGAAGTGGTTGTTTCAGAGAGTAGGTCTGAGTTCTGTAGTGCTGGGTCCGTTTTCAGAGATTCTCATTCTTTGCAGAAAGTCCTTATTGTTTCCACTTTTTTCTCTCCAACGTGTTCCTCGTGGTTATTTTAAGGACTCTACCCATGACACCAACACCTGCACCCGGGGTCTGTTTCTGTTGTCTTCTCTCATCACTTTAGCACTTGGTCTTTCTTTTTTAAAATATATTTTTATTGATTTCAGAGAGGAAGGGAGAGGGAGAGAGAAAGAGGAACGTCCATGATGAGAGAATCACTGATTGGCTGCCTCCTGCACGCCCCACACTGGGGATTGAGCCTGCAACCCGGGCATGTGCCCTGACCAGGGATCGACCTTGTGACTTCCTGGTTCATAGGTCGATGCTCAACCACTGAGTCACACTAGCTGGGCGGTCTTTTCTTGTTTTTCAACATTCCTTTTAATCCAGAGAGTGTGAGTTCAGAACTGTAGAGGCTTTGGGTTGTATCATTTCCTTTGAGCAGGTGGTAGGTTTCCTTACGTGAGGCCCACGTGGGGAGTCAGGTCGCCGAGTGCCCTCAGCGGCGGCTGGGCTGGCCCTTACTCCTGCCCACACCCCAGGGCGTGGCCTGTGTCTGCAGCCCCGGCTGAGGGGCCTCAGACCCCAGGGCCTTCCTCCTGCTCACACGTCCAGCTGCTGACTTCAGGACCTTGGACCCTCACCTGTGCTTGACCAGTTAGAGCTGGTGAGGGCCCTGCGGTGTGTGCAGGTTTGGGTCCCTGTGTCCCTCCCCCAGCCTTTCCCCGTGAGTGCTGCGCCCACAGAGATGGGGGTCTTCCTGCTCCCACGCTCTGCCTGCTGCCTGGCGCCTCCAGAGATCATGTGTCCTGCGTAGCGGTTTGCCGGGGGCTGTGCCCTGGCGTCTGAGCCACCGGTTCCTGTTGGCCTCTGGCCTGCGTCCGCCTTGCACCTCTGAGCACGCTGTGCCTGCCCTCAGCACCTCACTCTCCTGAGGCCTCCCCTGGGCTGAGGCCACACCCTGCCCCCTCTTCACTCTGAGCAGCACAGGCTGCCTCCCGGATGGGCCCCGTTCACTCCTGGTGGGAGGGTGGGTGCCCCCGGCCTGTGGGCCGTTGTAGCCATGATCCCCGTGGCCCAGCCGTGTCCTCCCTGGGCTGAGTGCACATTGTCCCAAGTTAAAAATGTGCTTCACTCTGGGTTAGGCCAGTCCTGTGTGAGCTCAGCTTTGCCAGTTGTATCAGTTTGTTTCCTTTCCCTGGGAGCTGCTGTGGACAGTGTGTTCCGAGTGGACAGGCCGTCCTGGTCTGGGGGCCCCTGGGCAGCGGGAAGGAGCCGCTCTGCGCGTCCTCCCAGGGAAGGCCAGGCCCTCGGAGGTTCTGCTGGGAGAAAGCTTTGCGGAGTGGGGGTGTTTTGCATTAAAAGCTCTTGGAAAACCAGTGCTGTTTCTGCGAGCACCCTGCCTGCTTGCTGGGACTCGCCATCTGCGGGCACGTCCTTGTCCGCCTGTCGTGGAGGAAGCGCTCTCAGAGGAGGGCTGCTCGCAGGGGCTTCCGTTGAAGTGCGTTCCGTCCGGCTGAGGGCCTCCCAGTCCCCTTCCCGCACGTGGCTGACGGGCACCTCCAGCTGGGGAGCGGTCTCCTCACCCCTCCTCCTCCTCGTCCCTCCTTGTCCCTGCAGGGTCCGCGAGGCTGCCATGACCAGTCTGATGGACCTGACCCTTCTCCTGGGGAGGGACCAGCCAGAGCTGATCGAGGCGCCCACGTGAGTGTTGGGGTGCACCCACCTGTGCCTGGAGAGGGTCTGTCCTGTCCCCGTCTCCTGACCCTGCGGCTCAGGCCCAGGTCTCCCCCTCCGTCGGGGCTCAGGCCGGCAGGGGGACAGCCATTCCTGGGCGAGGCCAGGGCAGGGGCCACTCCTCAGGCTTTGGGCCCTTGCACCTAAGTGCCTGCTCCAGCTGGGGGCCTGGCTGGCCCCTCTCCTGTCAGTTCCCGGGACATGGGCTGCCCCTGGGCACCTCACTTGCGGCGTCTCCATGCCCTCTGCAGGGCTGCTGCGTCTGTGGCAATGCCGTTTCCCGAGCCCCACCTGCCCTTGCCCCGCCCTTCCCTTCCTCCTCCTGCCCTTTTCCTCCGTGTCCCCCTTCGTGTCCCTGTCTTTTCTGCCTCCTTCCCTGTGCCCCATCCCCACCTGCTGCCCACCTGGAGCCCTGTGTGTCCTCACTGCTTCTACCCAAGACCTGGCATTTAGGCTCCTGGGGTCAGCTCAGCTGTGGTGGGGGCCCTGCGTGTGGGCAGGGAGCCAGGCCCGTGCTGACCTGCAGCCGTGTCTCGGGCGCCCTCGGGTTGGAGCTGTGCTACCGTTGGGCTCTTGGTTTGCAGCTGCCAGCGGGTCATGTGCTGCCTGGCCCAGCAGGCCAGCGAGAAGATAGACCACTTCCGTGCACACGCTGCCCACGTGTTCATGACGCTGCTGCACGCGGCCGGCTCAGCTGGCCCCACCGTCCCCCACGTGCCCCACCGGGCAGAACTGGAGCAGCTCTTCCCCAGGTACGGAGGGTCCGGGTGCCGGATCGCGGTGGGCTGGGCGGCAGGGCAGGCCCCTCCAGCTCGTGGCTCTCTTGCAGGTCCGAGGCCGCCTCTGTCAACTGGACCGCACCATCCCAGGCCTTCCCTCGCATCACCCAGCTGCTGGGGCTGCCTGCCTACCGCTACCATGTGCTGCTGGGGCTGGCCGTGTCCGTGGGTGGCCTCACAGAGTCCACGGTGAGCATGCGTCTGGCCCGGCCTCTTTCCCACTCGAGCGGCTTTGGGTGGGCGTTTGGGCTGGAGCTGGGGCAGCACGTCTCCGTGGGGTTGGGACGTGCGCTGCCGGGGCTGCCCTGGGGAAACCGCGTCACCGCACAGCTCCTTTCCTGGCCTCAGGCTCCCAGGGCAGGGTCCCCAGGGCGGCTCGGGGAACCCCCACCTCTGAGGAGGGGAGCTCAGGAGCCGGGACATTGTGGCGAGTTCCTGTTCCCGGCACGCAGTTCAGCGCCACCGTGCTCTGTGTCCTGTCCCCGCCCCGTGCTGCCACATTTGCCGCCACCTGCCCACGGCGGCCGGCCCTGTGCTCTGGGTTCCTTTCCTTCTGTGTGTGGTGTTTCCCGGGGAGGCTGTGTCTCCAGTTTCTGTTGCCATGTTTCTGCTGGTGTGGTGCTCACACACTCCCTGACCCTCAAAAGGTGTCGGTTTAGCCTGGCCGGCGTGGCTCAGTGGTCGGCCTAGGAACCAGGAGGTCACAGTTCAATTCCAGGTCAGGGCACAGGTCCGGGTTGTGGGCTTGATTCCCAGTGTGGGGCGTGCAGGAGGCAGCCCATCGATGATTCTCTCTCATCATGGATGTTTCTCTCTCTCTCCCTCTCCTTTCCTCTCTGAAATCAATATACACACACACACACACACACACACACACACACACACACTAGTATATTTTTTGTTACCAGTCATTCACTTTGTTCATGAAATCTGTTTGTTTCTCATGCTTGTTCATCATAGGTT